GAGCAGATCAGCCACAGCATTCCCTGAAGCCTAATCCTGACTCTCTTCAGTCCTGTGAAGGCTGAGAGGTGAGGAAGCTGCAGGAGGAGAATCTGATGCTAGCAGAGGTTGGCCCGTGAGGTTTGAGGAAAGACATTTCTGTAACACAGTGCAGAGTGAGGCAGCAGGTGCTGATGAAGGAGTTGCAGCGTGTCGCCCAGATCTAGCTGAGATCAGTGATAAAGGTGGGTGCACTGAACATCAGATTTTCAATGCAGATGAAACAGCCTTCCAGGACCTTCACAGCCAGAGAAGTTGGTGCCTGGCTTCAAAGCACAGGCTGACTCTCTTGTCAGGGGCTGATGCAGCGGTGACTTTCAGCTAAAGCCACTGCTCATTCACCATTCTGAAAGCCCTGAGCTCTTAAAAGTTATGAGAACCTGCTCTGCCTGTGCTCTGTAAGGAACAAGCTGGAAGAAGGCACAGCTGTCTGCAACGTGGTTTACTGTTTAGGGCCACTGTTGAGACCTGCCGTTCAGAAAAAAGATTCCTTTCAAAACATTTCTGCTCACTGAAAATGCACCCAGTCACCCCAGAGCTCTGGTGGAAGCATATAAGATGTTTTCACTCCTGCTAATGCATCATCCATGCTGTAGCCCATGGATCAAAGAGTAATTCAGACTTTCAGATCTGATTACTTAAGAAATACATTTTGTAAGGCTATAGCTGCCACAGATAGTGATTCTGCTTGGATCTGGGCAAAAAAACCTGAAAACCTTCTGGGAAGGATTCACCATCCCAGATGCCATCAAGAATATTCATGATTCCCAGGAGGAGGACAAAATACCAACATTAACAGAAGTTAGGAAGAAGTTGAGTCTAGTCCTCATGTATGACTTTCAGAAGTTCAAGACTTCCCTGGAGGAAATAACTGCAGACATGGTGGAAACACAAGAGAACAAGGATTTGAGGTGGAGCCTGAAGATGGAACTGAAGTCTGCAGTCTCAGGACAGAACTCGAACGGTCGAGGAGCTGCTTCTGAGGGAAGAGCCCAGAAAGTGGAATCTACTCCTGGAGAGGATGCTACAAATGTTGCTGAAATGCCAAGGAAGGATTTAGATATTAGGTGACAAAGCAGTGGCAGGGTTTGAGAGGACTCAGTTTTGAAGCAAGTTCTGTTGCAGATGAAGTGCCATCAGACAGCATTGCACACTACAGAGAAAACCGTGAAAGGAAGCGGCAACCAGTGCAGCAAACTTCACTGTTGTCACATTTTGAGAAATGGCCACAGCCACGCCAGCCTTCAGCAGCCACTCACCTGAGCAGTGAGCACCAGCGGGACCCTCAACTTACTGGAGACTCAGACAGCTATTGGCATTTGTTAGCAATAAAGCATTTTTAATTAAGTTTCGTATGTTATTTTTTACTGGACACTTAATATTGTGTAGACATAACTTTTCTATGCGTGCACTGGGAGACTGAGCGATTGGTGTGACCCTGTTGCAATATCTGCCTTATTATGGTATTTCAGAACCAAACCCAAAGTATTTCCCAGCTTTGCCTACATGTATTTTTTTTTTTAAAGCTTTTTTTTTTTTTTTGCAGGGGCTGGGCTTGAACCCACCACCCCCTGTATGTGGGGATGGCGCCCTACTCCTTGAACCACAGGCAACCCCTACATGTATGTTATCTGATGAATAATTTTGCACACCAGAAGCAGGTACCAAGTAGTAACGAAAGGTAATAGCAATATTTCTATACATTTTACTTACTTTAAGGCAGTATTCAACTGATTAATCCTTGCTAGGCTTACACTGTGCATTTTGTTTACAGTTACTATGCAGCACCCATTGCCTGGATGTTTCCCTCTGTGCAAAATGCTGAGGAGGAAAGTCCCTACTGTGCTTATCCTTCTGGTGGTGGCATTAACGGGTCTTTTGCAGCCTTGAACTATGACTTCTGGCCTCAGGGACAGGGCTGGGCCACAACTGTACCCACTGTGCATGCATAGAGTTGGACAGAAGGGAGCTCTCAGCCCATGCACAGACCATGGCTGGTCCCTTCCTGGACTGGGGCCACATGCAGGTGCTCCAGATGCTTGGAGCTAGGCGGCTGCTGCTGGGGCTGGAGCAGCCCCGGGGCAGAGCTGGCCCCCTCCCTCAATCTGGTGTTTCTGCTGACTTCCAGCTGAGGCACCCTCCGGACTGGCCACTCACTGCCTTCTTGGAGTGCTCAGGATCAGGAAATTTCAACAGTATGTCACAAAAGAGCTGTGGGGTCTTTACCCACAAATCCGCATAGGGCTGCAGCAGCAGCTCTGGGCTCAGCACCTTGTATGAGCAAAGCCCTCCTTGGAGCTGGGGCCGGGCCACATAGGGTTTGGCACATCCTCTCCCAACATGTCCACGGAGGGAACTCACGTTTCCCCCTTCGAATTTTTAAAAGATTTGGCAGTTTTAACCTAACATTTAATTTTCCCCTAATATTCATTTGCTGATAATATATACAGTATTGATTTCTCCAGGCTCTGCAGAGATCTCAAATCCTTCCAGGCTCCTTGAGCAGCAACTTCTCCCCACCCACCCAAAACCCAGGGATCAAGTCATAGGCAGTGACCTGCTCTGGCCACAGAGCCACACCCGACAAGTGGCTGTGGAGGGAATGTCCATTTTCTGTGCCCACCCACCCAGCACCCTGTATGCACTTTGGGAATGAGGACACCTGGACATGGGGTCAAGGGTCAGAGTGCACTGTACACCTCTGTGCACACAAACACACAAACATCTAACCACAGAAGCTTCAGGGGGCCCAAGTTTAACTCTTACCTGCCCAAGATCGAAAGACAGGCCAGCCAGGCGGCCTCGGTCTAGTTCGAGTTTCCTGGCTACTCTGGAAAAAAAGTCCATTTAAAATAATCCCCCCTTTTTCCATATACAATCATTAGTGACCAGTACAGCTCTTGGCTTCTTCCCAGGACTCACCTTTCTTTCTCTTGTTTTTGACCTCACCTGGAGATCAAGTTTTAGCTTCATTTACCAGTTTAAGGTTAAAAAAACAAAAAAACCACCAGTCTCCATTTGAAAATGTGGCCCATTTATTTGAACTGAAAGGCATTACATAGTGCAAACATTTCTTTGGTAATGCTCTGGATACAATGATCATAAAAGGCACTTGGCTGTTGGCTGCAGTCAGAAAGTAAATATGTACACTTTGATTCCTATTACAGCAGCCCCCACGTGGCTGCTGAAAACGTCCACTCAGGCTGCCCACTGCTTCTGAGAATGTGTATCCTCTCACACTGGTGTTTCTGCAGACATTGCTTTGAATTAGAATTATAGGGTTTTGTGAATCACAGCTGGCTTCCCACCCTGCCGCTTGGAGAACACAGCTGTTGGCTGCTGCACATGTGACCTCACTGAAAGTCTCCAAGGCATTTAGAAGATGGCAAAACACTTACGGAATATAGAATGTGCTGCCTCCTCCTGTATACCTGAGCGACCTATGTGACACCATCAGCTTTTAGACAAATACATCCTATTTTACAGAAATCTATCCCATGTGTCATGAAACACCAGCCAGTTCTTATCACTTAGTAACAGAATAAGCAGTCAAGACTTGATACATCAAACCCCATGAATGTTCTCCCAGCTGGACTGGGGCCCACATCCCTCATGTCTCTTCCTGTGGGAAGGACGCTCATGCTGGAACACAGCTCGTGTGCAAATCATACTGGACACAGCACGTGCCCAAATCATACAGGACACAGCACATGCCCAACCACGCCAGGCACTGCATGGAACCCTGCCTCTAATGGGTCTTAGTGTCATGCCACCAAGTTTGGACACCTGCCACCTGTAACCTCAGGTCTTCCTCCTCTGCCCCCTGGGCCAGGGCTCTAGGAGGGCAGCCTTCCTCATGTCCCCATCTCAGAGTCTGACACTCAGTGGGTGCCCAGGGCAGGGTGTGTACTGAACTCGCCTGTTCAGGGAGAGGCTCCTCATAACACAGATCATTTCATATGTAGGACAAGAGGGAAGGTCTTGATCAATTAAAGAGGGAGCCTGTGAGGTATGACAGTTGCTAGTCACTGAATTCTATAGGAAATTTTGCATAGTAGAAATGGTTTTTCTGTCCCATCTAAATTTTCATAAAACATCATGCATTTTAAAAATACAAATGAGGTATAGGGATTCATTTTTTTAAACACACTCACACACCTGAAGTTAGATAAAACGAGAGCCTGCCGTCCCCAGACCCGCCAACACACACAGTGGGCACTTGGTAGGTGTTGGTCTCGTCACCATTCGGCTCACAAGGCGGAACGTCAGCAAGCCACACGTGGAAACCAGCTGTTTCTAGATGTGGCTTATTAATGTCCTTGTCATGCACGGAATGTGCTGAAGCAAAGAGTCACAGGATCTGCAAAGGATGTCTGTCCTGGGTTAGATGCTGATGAGTGGGGAGGTGTGACAGAGCCCAGGGGGGAATGGCTGCCCCGGGTGATGGAGGCACCGGGCATGCCCTGCACAGGAGCCTGCAACCCGCCGATGCTCTCAGAAGACTCCACTCCACTCGCCACACACTAACTTCAATTTTAAGTGTAGCTTGTGAGGCAGCCCTGGTTCTGGGGGTGCCCCCTCCGGCAGCTGCCAGCTCCCCCCACATGCAAGGACACACCTCTATGTTCCCAGCACCAGAATCAGGCAGCACTGAAATTTAGAGGTATCCTGCTTTAATTATTAAAAAGGAATGGTGTTATCAGGTGAAATCAATTTAGGAGCCTAAATGCTTTAACTGTGCAATTTAATAGTAGCACCAATTTTTCGTTTTAAAAGAATTAAATAAAAACCTGAGAAGTCTAACAGGAAGTTCAGCCATGAGTCGGCTCCCCATCCACGCACTTGCTGTGTCTCCCTCTCCATGGATGCTCAGAGCCGCCTGCCCCACCTGTGACAGCACCAGATGACATGGCCATGATACACTGTGAGTTCCGGTGTCTCCTCTGGTCTGCAGATGCCTGTATTGGCCACCTGATGTCACGATGGCTCAGCAGACAAACCCCAGGGGCCAGACCAGAGCCTACGGTTTTCCTTCTGCAGTGTTCTGTGAGCAGACTGGACAGCAGGCTCCTTCAGTTTTCACAGGTGCCAGACAAGCGACAGGTTGGCAGGCTTCCACGAAGCAGGTGACCTGCCCATTCTGGAGGAGACAGGTAGGCTGTCAACTCTGGGATGGCCATACCTCACCCTGGGTCCCTTCCTGCCCTGCCCTGCGTGGACTGCAGGCAGGTGTATTACCTCTCCTGTGGGTTTTACAATAGAGGAGTGGTTCTGACCCGTCCTCCACACCCAGGAGGCACCAGGACCATAGTCTGGGCACGTGTAGCCCAGACTGGGCCTCCCCCTCCCCAGGATCTGAATTGTTGCTGGGAATTGGACCAGATCAGAGAGGCAAGAGACAGATTTCCTGTCCCCTGGCCTGTCCTTCCCAACTCAACCCAGCCCAGGGACACTGTCATGTCCTCTCCCAATGTCCATGGCACCTGAGAGCCCCAGACTCGGCCCCCATCCTTGCCATCTGCCTCCCAACATTCTGCTCTGGGCTTCTCACTGAGCCTGGGCTGCAGCTGGCTGTCTGCTCACCACAGTACCAGGGCAGCTGGGCCTGTCCCCACCCACCCCCAAACCCAGGGATGGATGGTTCCTCATAGGCCCTGGCAACCCCACCCCCTCCCACTGCTGGGACAGACGCCATGTTGGGCAGGTAAATGTCCTGTGTGGGGGAGCCTGGTCTGCTGAACGTGTGGGCCCCATAGTGTTTCTGCTGCCTGCCACTGGGGGCAAGTGGGGCAAGTGCAGCCCCAGGGGTCACCTGGATTGGGGGTTACCCCTCTGTGGTGCAGCAGGCACCTGTCAGGGTGAGGATGAACAGAACCCAGCACAGGCAG